CTGGACGATTAATTAAGGAATAATACCGACTGGGGTAGGAATTTAATGGTAATAGATGGGCTGAAGCTTTGGGTTAGTAGACACAAACTAATTCAATTCAATTCAGTTTATTTCTATAGCGCCAAATTCACAACACAAGTCATCTCAAGGCACTTTACAGTTCAAACCAGATCATCCAGTCAAATTGATACAAAGTTTTCTATCTAAGGAAACCAGTTGATTGCATCGACTCATTGACTCAAATACAATCCTTCACACTAAGCATGCTTGTAGCGACAGTGGAGAGGAAAAACTCCCTTTTAACAGGAAGAAACCTCCAGCAATTGATAGGGATGCACGATATAATCGGCCCCCTATCGGTATCGGCCTTAAAACTGAATATCGGACATCGGCCACCCCACCGATATTTAACCCGATATTTGATCAGCTTCTGAGTTTCTAAAGTCTAAACAAAAATAAAAAATACTACTTCTTCTTCTTCCTCAAAAACTTCTTTTTTTACAGACTTAAAAACTTCTAAAGACGAGGGAAAAAATATTGATACATTAAAATATCCCAATATCTTCATATGCTGATATATTGCCATTTAAAAACACCATATCAATCTCTTTTACTAATGAAATATTGCTATATGTCATCGTTATGCTACGAAATACCCCGAAAATTCACCAAATGTTGCCATATTTTTATATGTTGATATATTGACGCGGTATCGATCTATTTTACTAACAAAATCTCACAAGAATTTGCAAAATATCACGAGAGTTTGTAACAGAACGATGAAATTTCAAGAGATTTTGAAAGTAAAATAGATCGATACCGCGTTTTTAAAAATCAATTTGATATCAGCATATGAAAATATATTTGAGTTTATTATTTTTCAAAGTGTCAGAAATGGATAACAAAACTGCTATTTTCAATGACTACTTATTTTTGTCCAGCTTTAACATCGGTATCGATATCGGTTATCGGCTACATGAGTTTTAAAATATCGGCATATCGGATATCGGCCAAAATCCCAATATCGTGCATCCCTACTAAATGTTATATTAAGTGTAAGTGAATGACTCTGCTAAAGACGCCATTAATGCAAGAATCACCTTATTTTATTAGACACAGTAAGCAGAGCTTACTTAACTATTAACTATAGTTATTTCATTAATTATTTTTTTTAAACACAGTTGATTCATTTTTAGTGAAAGTGCAGGACTTAAACTAATAGTGGTCAACAAAACAACCAGTTCTGTTCCAGAAGATTTAGAGAATTAGTGCCGTGGCTTTAGAAAACACTGCAGAGCGAGCAGCTGAAATGATTCGGTACCTCAGAGTTTAGCAGTGTGTGTTTCTAACTGCAGTGTACTTGAAATTACAGCAAATTAGAAAGTTGGCAGTCTTAGAAAATTCCTTTTAACAACTGACGGAGGTTTATAAAAAGTATCGTGTCAGCCCTCTAAATAATTTAAATCAGAGCTTCCAGCCATTTGCATAACTGCAAGTGTATAAAATCAAGCCTTCATGCAGGAAAAGTTCAAATGTTGGAGAAAGAATGGGTAGCTCAAATGAACCCTGTTTGCTGTAATAATAAAATCCTCCTGCTATTTATTCTGCTGCCAGCTGTTAGTGGTATTACAGCTAAGTGGAAGGGATGGGGAACAACAGCAACTCAGCCACAAAGCGGTTGGCCATCTAAACCCACAGAGTGGAATAAGCAGATGGGAAGGAGCACAGTGTGGACTGGAGAGGTCGGCAGCTTTCTGCAGACTTGTTAGCTATTGAGCTCCAAATTTGATGCTACCTCCAGATTAGCAGAAGATAAGGGCAAATAGAGCCTAATGCAATGAGTCTCCAAGGCCAAGCAACTTCATCCAAGCCTGTATACTGCAAAGTAATCTTGTTGATATATGGTTTTGATTAACATGCGAATAGTTGGCATTAATTAAAGATCCTGCAATTAACTCAGTTAGGAATTTTTAATCACGTCCCATCACCAAAATAGCAATTAGAAAAAAGAAAATATACACTATATTGCCAAAAGTATTTGCTCACCTGCCTTGACTCACATATGAGCTTAAGTGACATCCCGTTCCTAATCCATAGGGTTCAATATGACGTCGGTCCACCCTTTGCAGCTAGAACAGCTTCAACTCTTCTGGGAAGGCTGTCCACAAGGTTTAGGAGTGTGTTTATGGGAATTTTTGACCATTCTTCCAGAAGCGCATTTGTGAGGTCGCACACTGATGTTGGACGAGAAGGCCTGGCTCTCAGTCTCCGCTCTAATTCATCCCAAAGGTGTTCTATCGGGTTGAGGTCAGGACTCTGTGCAGGCCAGTCAAGTTCATCCACACCAGACTCTGTCATCCATGTCTTTATGGACCTTGCTTTGTGCACTGGTGCACAGTCATGTTGGAAGAGGAAGGGGCCAGCTCCAAACTGTTCCCACAAAGTTGGGAGCATGGAATTGTCCAAAATGTCTTGGTATGCTGAAGCATTCAGAGTTCCTTTCACTGGAACTAAGGGGCCAAGCCCAGCTCCTGAAAAACAACCCCACACCATAATCCCCCCTCCACCAAACTTTACACTTGGCACAATGCAGTCAGACAAGTACCGTTCTCCTGGCAACCGCCAAACCCAGACCCGTCCATCAGATTGCCAGATGGAGAAGCGCGATTCGTCACTCCAGAGAACGCGTCTCCACTGCTCTAGAGTCCAGTGGCGGCGTGCTTTACACCACCGCATCCGACGCTTTGCATTGCACTTGGTGATGTATGGCTTGGATGCAGCTGCTCGCCCATGGAAACCCATTCCATGAAGCTCTCTGCGCACTGTTCTTGAGCTAATCTGAAGGCCACATGAAGTTTGGAGGTCTGTAGTGATTGACTCTGCAGAAAGTTGGCGACCTCTTCGCACTATGCGCGTCAGCATCCGCTGACCCCGCTCCGTCAGTTTACGTGGCCTACCACTTCGTGGCTGAGTTGCTGTCGTTCCCAAACACTTCCATTTTCTTATAATACAGCTGACAGTTGACTGTGGAATATTTAGGAGCGAGGAAATTTCACGACTGGATTTGTTGCACAGGTGGCATCCTATCACAGTTCCACGCTGGAATTCACTGAGCTCCTGAGAGCGACCCATTCTTTCACAAATGTTTGTAAAAACAGTCTGCATGCCTAGGTGCTTGAATTTATACACCTGTGGCCATGGAAGTGATTGGAACACCTGATTCCAATAATTTGGATGGGTGAGCAAATACTTTTGGCAATATAGTGTATTTATATACAGGTAGTGCTTTAATCTTCTAAGTGAAGTATACTGGCATAGTTAGGCTGCAGAGTCTCTTCTTTCTGTGAGGTGTGACTGGGCTGCCTCTGCAGGCTCCAACTGTTTCATTTTGTACAGGCTTGGGAAGATCTCCAGAGAAATCCTGCAGACCTTTCTGAGCAGCCAGAAATAGGACAGAGTGTGAGGCGCAAAGCGTTCTGTTGGACTGCAGTGTTAAGGCTGCTCAAACAGCATTTATATAAACATCTCTACACATCCAGCTTTAAATTCCTGGATATTTCTCACATCTTCAGTGAAACATTTATGATCTGATCTATGTCACGGTATGCACACATTATGCTTGAGACATTTTGAATGATAAACATTGTTGCTCTGCAGAAGGTTGGCTATTTCTGGAAGTAGAAATCATGTTTATTGTTTCAAGCTGAGGTTTCTTCTTCCTCTGAATGACAAATGCAGAGGGTTGTGCTTGATGTTCATGTGTCTTCTTATTCATAACATTTGCTCCATCATACCTGATAATTATTGGTCTGGTCTAAGTGAAGAATTTTGAGACGGTGATTGTGAAAGGGAAGGAAAACAATCTACATACACTCATCGGCCACTTTATTAGGTACCCCATGCTAGTAACGGGTTGGACCCCCTTTTGCCTTCAGAACTGCCTCAATTCTTGGTGGCATAGATTCATCAAGGTGCTGGAAGCATTCCTCAGGGAGTTTGGTCCATATTGACATGATGGCATCACACAGTTGCCGCAGATTTGTCGGCTGCACATCCGTGATGCGAATCTCCCGTTCCACCACATCCCAAAGATGCTCTATTGGATTGAGATCTGGTGACTGTGGAGGCCATTTGAGTACAGTGAACTCATTGTCATGTTCAAGAAACCAGTCTGAGATGATTCCAGCTTTATGACATGGCGCATTATCCTGCTGAAAGTAGCCATCAGAAGTTGGGTACATTGTGGTCATAAAGGGATGGACATGGTCAGCTGTGTGTAAATAAGAGTTGGTATGAATTCAGCTGTTCTATAAAGGACTGATGGAGAACATTATCATGAAGACTAAGAAACACAGCAGCTACAGAGGCCCACAGCTGAGGTGGGAGAAAATGTTGTTGGTTAGAAAAATACCAACATATCACCCTGAACACACCATATCACTGTGCTGTTTTCTTCTCAGCATGATCCAGTCACTGTGAAATACGGTGGTGGTGGCGGCATCGTGACATGGAAACGCTTCTTTCTGTTGGATGATCTTAGATCCACAGCAGTCTTGCAAAAATACTGAAAACTGGTTCAAACGTTCCTCTAGCAGCACTGAAAGTACAGCCATGGTATATCCATGTCTGAAAATGAAGCCAAATTTAGATTCATACTGGTGTGTTACATTGCGTCAGTCTTCCACAAAATATTCCAAGCTTTGTGGTTAAATGAGAAGAAGGTGTAAAAGTCAGGGGAGCCAAAAACTTAACCTTTGGGCAAGTCCAAAACCAACATTTCCGATATCCCTGAACGCACCATTCACATATGGCTAAATGTAGAGTCCAAGGGGTTTGAATACTTTTGCGAAGCATGGAAAGACATGAAGATAGATCAAATTATACTAAAGGAATGAAGTCCCATATTTTGGTGTCTAAAAACAAAAATTTTCTAGTGTGTAATTTCAATGCTAATGTAGCTAAAATCCAACCTTTTTTTCTATGCTTTAACTTTCTTCCAGAATTCCATCCGACACAATCTGTCCCTCCACAGCCGGTTTGTGAAAGTCCAAAATGAAGGAACCGGCAAAAGCTCTTGGTGGATGGTCAACCCAGAAGGCGGTAAAGGGGGCAAAGCTCCGCGTCGCCGGGCCGTATCGATGGACAACAGTAAATACATCAAAGGGGCGAGAGGACGGGCCACCAAGAAGAAAGCCTCTCTGCAGGCTGCACAGGACGGCAGCTCTGAAAGCTCCTCCAGCCTCTCCAAATGGACCGGGAGTCCCACGTCCCGCAGCAGTGACGAGCTGGACGCCTGGACAGACTTCCGCTCTCGGACCAATTCCAACGCCAGCACGCTCAGCGGTCGTCTTTCCCCAATCCTGGCTAACCTGGAGCTGGATGAGGTGCCTGATGATGATTCCCCCCTCTCCCCTATGCTGTACTCCAGTCCCAGCAGCATGTCCCCGTCCACAGGACCCACAGGACTCTCCGACCTGGCCGGTACAATGAACTTGAACGACGGGCTGTCTGACAACCTGATGGATGACCTTTTAGACAACATCAGCCTGACGGCAACTCAGCAGCCTCCTCCTGGTGAGGAAGACCCTGGAGCCATCAGTCAGGGAGGCTCGGTGTTTACCTTCAGCTGCTCCGGGAGCGGACTGGGCAGTCCCTCTGGAAGCTTCGGGCCAAACCCTCTCTTTAGCCCCACCTCCATCACAAGCCTGAGGCAGTCACCTATGCAGACCATCCAGGAGAACAAGCAGACAACCTTCACTTCCATCTCGCATTTTGGTGACCACCAGACCCTGCAGGACCTGCTGAGCCTGGACTCCCACAGCCACAACAACGTCATGCTCACCCAGTCCGATCCTCTGATGTCGCAGGCCAGTACCGCCATCGCCCTGCAGAACTCTCGCCGAAACGCTATGCTGCTCCGCAAAGACCCTGTGATGGCGAATCCGAGTGGTGGAAGTCCGGCTGAAAGCGCTTCAGTGCCTGGTTGGCAAGCTGGCTTGTCAACCCCTGACAATGACGGAGGCGGCCACAGGGACGCCAAGCCAACGCACCTGAAGCCCTCTGGCAAAAACGCCTCTATGCAGGACCGCTTCTCCGGGGATCTGGACCTGGACGTGTTTAACGGCAGCCTGGAGTGTGACATGGACTCGATCATCCGCAACGAGCTGATGGAAGCAGACTGCCTGGACCTGAGCTTCGACGCGCGCCTCGACTCCACATCCACCCAGAACGCCAACAGGAACTCGGGAAGCTTCTCCGGCTCCAAACAGACGTCCCCTCAGAGCTGGGTGCCCAGCTGAGGCGCAGCGGGAGCTCGACTGGCACATGTGTACATTTGGGTTCTTTGTCCTGCATTGTGCGCCCAAAGGGAGAAAGTGTATTTATGTAGTATTTTCTTCCAATGTTTTTAATGTGAGGCATTTAGTGCTGTGCTATAGTTAAAGTGTCAGGGAGCCACAGTGGTGTCTCAGACATACGGCAGCGTCTTCGCAGCAAAGAAAACAAAAACCAGATCAATGCCAGGACGATGGGAGGAACATCGTTGATTTAAATCTTCACGGAAAGCATCAACTCATGTTAGTCTCAGGGAATCACTCATATCACCAAGTGATGGGTGAAACCGAAGATGAATTGTGTTTTCCACCTGCTTTCTCTCCTCTTTCACCACCTTACATACCTAGACCAACCTTTCTTTGCCAAACCAGCCGTCCGCTTCTAGCCGACAGCCTGTTTACAGAAAAACAAAGAGCTGCAGAAAATGTAAAGTTATTCCGTTGAAGTGGAGGATACTTGGAAAGCTCCGTTTGCAAGGTTTTCCTCGAGAGACGATCCGCCGAACGAACCTACAGTTTGAAAGTGTTTGTGTTCCCACTGATGCACCCAATCAGGTACTAGATATCAGTCTGTGAAGGGATAAAATCTTATTAAGATGTGAGCAGGTCTGCATTGTGTGGTTTTTGTACTTTTTTTTTTTTTAAAGAAAATTCTTCTCTGTGATTTTAGTGACATTACTGTGAATTATTTTCTTCCTGAAGAGGCGCATCACTGCAGCAGATCCCTGTTCACCATTTTCACTCCTTCTCTTCCTCCTGGGAAGTAATCCTCCATGTTTCGGACTGAGGAAGTGGATTTTCCCACCATCTGCATTAGCAAACACGACTATTGGAATGAAAATAACCACTCTTAGACACTAAAGCCCTTGGCTACCACATGCCAGTGTGATTTTGGAAGGAGTTCTCGGTGCTATTTTAATGAAGATAGCAGGGAGTGGCTGCAGATGGAGCAGCCGCTCATTTGTTATCAGCACTACAGCAGGTGCTCTGGAAAATGGTTTCTACCCTGTAAGAGTCAAGTGGGTGTGTAAAGTTTTAGAGCCATCTTCTTTGCCAATGAGAGAGAGAGAGAGGAACCACAGTATTTATAATATTGCCAAATTCTTTCTGCATATAAATAAATATGAGGAACTACGGTGTATACAAATGAAGTCAGTATTCTTAAATGATAGTTTTCAGCCTTTTTTGTAGAAACAAGAGGATAAAACATTGTCAGTATGTCTTTTTGCTAAGCTTCATTATTTTTAAAGGAAAAACAAAACATTTCCTTACAAAAGTGTAGATTTCTGTTGAACTGTTTCTCATATTTTTTCCTGTTACAACCACTATCTTAGCCTTAAACTAAAAACGTTAAAGGAATAGTACACCCAAAACATGATTAGCCTTCATTTTCTACTCACCCCCATGCTGAACAACACTCTGTAGTACTTTTTTGATATCTCAAATGCATCTGGAGATCTGGGAGGCTTCTTGCTGTCTGCTGACATTCAAATAATGGAGGTCTATGGCGCCCGAGGCAGAAAGGTCCATAAAAGTCCACAAAAAACGTGTCAATATTCCTCCATACTGCTCGTCCAATGTATTCCAAGTGTCCTGAGTGGGTAGCGTCCATAATTTACTCGAAACAAAGTCATTTAGAATGTTTTTAGAGCATAAACAGTAGTGTATAGGATTTCCTAAAAGCACGTTCACGACGCTACGGAAACCGCGGCAGACCAAACCAAATGAAAGTGCGCATTTAGCTCGGCAAAGAACTCATGCTCTTCCTCAACACTGAAGTCCTCAGACATTTTTCTTTCGTTGTTTCTTTCTTTGCACAGGTAAACAGCACATTTCTTCTTCTACGCTTGCATTATTGGCAGAGCAGACGCTGAATGCGCACTTTTATCTGGTTTGGTCTGCCGCGGTTTCCGTAGACTCGTGAATGCGCTTTTAGAAAATCCTATACACTACTGCTTATGCTCTAAAAACATTCTAAATGACTTAGTTTCGTGTAAATTATGGACGCTACCCACTTAGGACACTTGGAATACATTGGACGAGCAGTATGGAGGAATATTGACACGTTTTTTGTGGACTTTTATGGACCTTTCTGCCTCGGGCACCATAGACCTCCATTATTTGAATGTCAGCAGACAGCAAGAAGCCTCCCAGATCTCCAGATGCATTTGAGATATCAAAAAAGTACTCCAGGGTGTTGTTCAGCATGGGGGTGAGTAGAAAATGAAGGCTAATCATGTTTTGGGTGTACTATTCCTTTAAAGAGGATCTGATAAAAAATAGAAATGATGCTGAAATTGTTGGTCTAAAATGTGTAAATGCTATAACTGCACAACACCCTAAAGCAGTTTTCCAAACTTTTCAGCTTTTGGTGAAATGGATGAACGTCTGATTATAGTATAAAGTGCTTTGGTCGAGTCTCCTGACTTTAAAAAGCGCTACACAAGTAGAGACCATTTAATTTTCAACAAACCAGTAACAGTTGTAAAATATTACAATCAGCCCCAACAACCAAACCAGTTGGTTTTTTCCATCTTTAGCGATGCATTTATATAACTGATCACTTCAACTTCAATGTTAATCGTTTAGTTTAATTTCTGTAGTGGATCTGAAGATGCTATAATGGCTGATCAATATCCCCAAGTTTGGGAATAGTTTCCCTAAAATGGCCACGCCCACTTTGAAATACAGAGTGGTGGTAGCATCATGATTTGGGGTTGCTTTCTTTTTAGCAGAGGAAGGTTAACCCGGAAGAAATCCTGCTGCAAACTGGAAAGGAAAAAAAAATTGGGACGAAATTAATTTCCCAGCTCAAAATGTTCAGTCATCAATGATCTATTGCATATAATGAATTCTGTTTAGGTCCAGAACTTAAACCTAAGAAAAAGAATTCATGATGAAACCTGCAGTGTCTTTTCATGAACATCAGATTATTTGGAAAAAATAAGAATGAAACCCTGAGCTTTGCATTTTCCCTCCATCTCACATTAAGCTCCTATACGTCTTGGTCAGTTAACAAAATTAAATAAAAATAAAACCTAGTTTGTGGTTGTAAACTTTCGAAGGGTGTTAAAAATGATTTACTGCATATTAAGTTGCCTCTACGTCCAAACAGTATTTTCTAAACCAGCCTTCATTTGTTGGACACTGGTTGCTTTTTTGATGAGTAAAAGAAATAAAATTTGTGTTGCAGCTACACATAACCTGAATCTGCTTTAAACTATCCTCACCAAATGTTTTCCTCTCTGGGTGAATGATTTGTAACACCTGCATACATGTTTTACCTCTTCCTCTTGCTCCTGCAAAAAAAAAAAAAAGAGAAGGAGAAAAAAAAAGCCAGATGTAATTGTTTCCAGTTTTTCAAAGAAGGTGCGTGTAAATAAAGGTCAAGAACTACTGAAAACCTGGACGATTTGTTCTTTTTCTCCCACCTTCCTTTCCTGTAAAGGAATTGAACATCTGCTGATTTCACTGCAGGGCTCAGTGAAGGTGATTGGACGGGCCCTGTAAGGGCCAACAACCAATCACATGCTGTCTCCAGGAGGAATGGAGTGGCTTAGATCAAGATGAGGTGTTGCTGAGGAAGGTAACCCTCAGCAACTGAAGCACACAGGCTGATGTCACATTTTACTCTACATAAGGCAAATTGCTGAGCTCTCTGGTATGTGACTAAAATGCATTACTGCAGTGAAAAACTGGAACCCTCTACTGGTCAGATGCAGGTACTGGGTAGATATGAAGGGCAGGCTGATCTCCATGGATCAAAAAGGAAGTCACAGAGATTATCCTGAGCCTGACCATTATATATTTCATCATAAATGACTCAGATCATTTAGAATTAGCCAAACAATAGAATTTAATGCAGATTAATTAATCCAGGGATAGACAAAGAAAATCAGACTAGAAGTTAAGGCAGCTGCTTTGCTTTAAACATCCCTCAGATTCATCATCCGAAAATACAGAGTATGGCACACCTACCTGGACATTAGCCTCGTGAGACCATCCTGATCTCGCGAGCTTCCAAGGTTTCACTCGCTAATCAGTCTGGAGACTCTCCGTAAAAGAAAATTTGGAGCCGTTCACCAAACGAACGTCCAACCAGCGTTGGCTTTGAGGCGGGTTGAGGTGTGACGCAACGAGAAGCGCGACAGTTCAGTCTAAAGAACATGGCGGCTTCAGCCGATGAAACTAGCGTTAGCGTGGCTATCGGGCAAGTTTTATCGGAATTACAGAGTATTTCTTCACTGAAAGAAGAGCAAAACACTGCTCTGGAGGCTTTTCTCAGAGGAAAAGATGTTTTTGCTCTTCTCCCCACTGGCGTTTGGTTATGGGCCGTTTCTCAATTCACGAGAACGCGAGTACGTACTCGCGTTCTCGTCAAGTCCGTTCTTGGCGAGAACGCAGGAAGATCGGACTTGACGAGAACGCAAGCACGTATGTGTATTGGAACAGAAGCGTACTCGTGACGTCATCACAGGCAACGTTGTTTAGCATTTCTTTAACAGTCAAAACTATTTATTCCCTACATAAAACATTTTGAAAACAATATTTTTAATTTCTAAGGCTTAAAAAACATTTAAAAAAATTACCGAACCGCAAAAAACCGCCATCAGAACGAGCGGTAGTTCACACATAACTAGACCGAGAGAAGTGCACTACAGACGGGGTAAATTTAGCCCTGGCTGCGGTTACCCTCGGAGGTCTGCTGGTCACTCTGGTCCGCTCAACGTCGGACTTTTATTTTTAAAATTTCGCACTAACTCTGTAAACAGGCCACACAGGGAGGCTTCAATGTATAATGTTATCGCCTCAAACAATTTCAAAACGTACTTTTGAAGAACAACAGCAGCAGAAAAGGGAATGTTTAACTTACCACTGTGAGCGCTGTCTGGAATGAAGCTGCGGCCGCGGGGCATTCTGGGGAAGCGGTCTGTCTGAAGAACGCACAAGTCTGCTCTGATGCATGCGACATCAGACAGTGGCATTGGATGTGGGAGTTTGCCCTGAAATCGAAGGGTTGACGGTTCAAACCCCGACTCCGACTTTCATTGTCGTTGTGTCCTTGGGCAAGACACTTCACCTGCATTGTCTACTGATGGTGGTCAGAGGGCCCGGTGGCGCCAGTGTACGGCAGCCTCGCTTCTGTCAGTGAGCCCCAGGGCAGCTGTGGCTACAATGTAGCTAGCCACCATCAGTGTGTGAGTGTGTGCGTGAATGGGTGAATGAATGTGGTGTAAAGCGCTTTGGTCAAGTCTCCTAACTTGAATAAAGGCGCTATATAAGTACATGCCATTTACCATTTACCATTTACCATGCTCGATAAAGAGGGCGGGGTGAGAACAACATCCGGGGATTTGATGCATTCTCAATCTGGCGTTCTCGAGAATAGGAACGGTACTCGGGCTGAGGCTGATGACGTGTCACGAGTACACGAGCACACGAGAACGCTCAAGAACGCATATTAAGAAACGCCCTGTGTTTTCGTCGTCGCTCTGTTAGTACGTCATATGCTTCATTGATCTGATTGGTTTATTTGGCCCGTCTATCACCAACATAGGCCAATCAGCTAACCAGTATTTTTCGCCCCTTCCCAAAATTACTTCAACGGAAGGTTTCCAGATGGATATGCGGAGCAAATCCATCTGGCGGAGTCAGGTTACCTGGACATGATCATCTACATGCTGACAAAGCCTTAATTAATTAGTGAAGCAGCCAAGAGGCACATGGTAACTCAGGAGGAGCTGCACTGATCCACAGCTCGGGTGTTGAACAGATCAGTGGGGAACAAATCAATAAGATGAACACGAAGAACAAGGAGGAGTGTTTTTTTATTTTGTTTTTTTCCCCCCAGAATTTCAAGAATTCATTTTTTTTTTGCTTCTTAATAGGTGAGACGTTTGGTCTTCATTTTAAGAAAGGACTGAGAAACACTGTAGCATAAATAAGATAAGCAGGATTTTCCTCTTAAAGATACAGTGAAGGATTTTCTTTTTCCAGGTGGTCATCAAAATAATTCGTCCTAATTGTCAATCATTCTGGTGATATGTTTCCGTAAGGCCGTCCTACGTGCTCATCTCCATTTTCACTTATCTGTCTGACATAGTGGAAAAATTGCAGATCTTTTAGAAAGTAAGCTTGTATGAGCGATGCAAACAGCAACTTTTAAACAGAATGCGCACGAGGATGTGCATTTAATCGCCGTTCCCTCTCGGGAGTAGGTACAGGGTTGTGCATGTTCAGTTTTTTTTTAGTGGAGAGGGCAGGTCTTTTCAAAAAGTTGCAAAAATCCTCCACTATACCTTTAAGTTTCTGAATTTTGGTCAGCCAGACTTGGCCGGACCAATCACAGCGGGGAAGGTGAGACTCTACAATGCCTGATAAAATTACCCAAACCAATGAAACCTAAGAACATAACAGAGAGCACATCTCATCTCTCCAGA